AAGGGCTGCTGCAGGATTGTGAGGTGACTTGGCAGAGCGGTGTGCGTGGAGCTTGCACTCTGCCTGGCACTAGCTGGCACAGTGCATCTCTCTCCGCTCAGCACTAAACTCTGTCTTGCTTCCCTTTCCCATCCCCAGTGGGTTCTCCAGCAATTGTCTCCTATAGGGCTGAAGAGAACTGGAGACCTTGCTTGCTGACAGTGATATATGGTGTGTTACAAACTAGCCCATCCATCCTCATTTCCCAAGTGCAGTAGGGTGGGATCATGATCCCCATTTTACAGAGGGCAAAACTGAGGCACCCAGGTCACACCGCAAGCTGAAGTGGGATTAGGGTTTGGTGGTGCTTGGCTTCCGGCCCACTAAATGCTACCTCTCGGCATTAGCTGTTGTCTTGCCTGCTGTCTGATTTCCTTCCCTTCCCTTGTTTTTCAGTGGTATGTGCAGGCAACTTGCGCAACCCAGGGCACTGGTCTCTATGACGGACTGGACTGGCTATCGCACGAGCTCTCCAAGCGCTAGGTGGGTGGCCAGCCGGCTCACAGACCAGACGAGCGTCGTGCCCACCTGGGATCTCCATGCCGGGTTTAGTTTAGTTTTTTGGGTTGTTTTTTCCTCCCCACTGTGACCTCGTCTTAAATGATCTTGTGTGTTTATCTGGTAGAACTTGAACCTTGAGGACTCTTCAGGCACCTGCACTAGCCGTGCTCCTGCCTTCCGCTGCCCAGGTGGCACTTTCATGCTAACCGTCCTACCCAACTGCATGTGTTCTTGTGAAGTGGAGCCTGTGCCGTGTCCCAGTGGGGCCTGTTGGGAGGGAGGGAGGGAAGTGGCATTCACTTGCATCTAGCGGGTGGGGGCGGGGTGTGTCTAAGCACTGAGCAGGAGGCGGTGTTCCAGTTACCTCCACTGGCAGCTTGCGAGGAAAGCCGTAGGTAACTGCTTCGGCCGTCCCAACACTGCAGAACAGAACCGTTTCTCCTTTTTATCCTTCCACAAACTTTATAATTGTTTCTCTTGGGGAGGGTGGGGGGCAGGGCAGGGCTGGGACTCTGACTGTGTAATGTGCTATTGTATATCGAGTAATAAAACTCCACCCGTTTGTATCCTGTGCCCTACCTCTTTCTCACCAGCAGATGGTCCCGGCTTTTGTGTGTGAGGGTCAGGGTAACTAAGGAGGTGAACATGGGGAGCTGCAGGGCCACCCTGTGGGGTGGAAGCCAGAGGATTAAATGTACAGAGATGCCTGCCCAAAAGCCCCTCTCAGCCCCTGGGCTCTGGAGTGGAAAGCTAGAGTCCCCAGCATGCTGTGTGCCTGGCCCTGGTTTGGAAAGGAGCGGGCTGGGTGCACTCTGAATGCAGGTGCCACAAGGATTCTGGGCTGTGGGTGCTTGGCAAAGCAGGGTTTATTGCTGACTGTTGCTCCCAGTGTCTCAGGCCATCTCCTGAGTGACCTGCCTAGGTGTGGCACCGACAACCTACAGGATGGGACTGGGTGTAAGCAGCCAGCTGCACCAGATGTGGAAACAGCTGGTGGGATCCAGCTATGTGTCAGAGAAGGAGCTTAACGCAGCGACCTGTTGGCATGTGCTTGGCCGCTGGGCTCAGCGGAGCTCTGCTCGACCCTCCCCTTCTCGCCAAGTGGTGAGGTACTGCCCAGGCCAGTGCTGGGGGAGAGCAGTGCAGGTCTTGTTTTCTCCCCCCAGTCCCATTCTGGTAGGTAGCCACAGCTAGTGAAGCTCTCCCTGAAAACTGGGCAACTTCCATTAGGTAGCTTAAAACTCGAGGGGGATGGGGCAGTGCTAACTCCGGGCAGCCGGGCTTGAAGATTCCGTCCCGTCTCCATGACTCAGGGGGAGGCTGGTGATAAATTTTAGTCTCCTTCATCTCATCACCTGCCCTCCCACATCTCCCCCCTCTACCTGGAATAACAGCTGCCTCCTCAGGTCATGGAGTTATGTTGGCAAAGCCCCTTGCTAGTGCCAATGATGTTACCTGGCCCCTTGGCTTCTTGCATGTCATTTTCATCCTGGCGGGGGCCTGGCTCATGGGGAAGGAAAGTGGAGTAAGGGCTGTGTCTGCCGCCTTCCCCAGGCCACCGGAGAGCTCTGCTGGGGCTCCCTTGGGGAGCGTGGGCTGGTGATGTGACTGTCCAGTGTAATGTAGTGACTAATGGAGACAACCTGCCCATTGTCAACACAGCTGTGGTGAGAGTGAGCACACCCTCGCACGCAGCTGGACAAGGCTCCGTCAGGCGGATGGGAGTGGGGACCTGGAGACTTGGAGTTTGCCTGCCTGGTTCCTGTACATACAGACACCTACATCTGAGGGTGGTCCAGGTGGGTCAAACTAGTGTAGCAGTATGAAGCTGGGACAGAGAACACTTAGAAAACACGGAGTACCCATGGGCTATTCTTGCCAGAAGTGCCTGGGTGCTGCCTTAGACAAAGCGGTATCAGAGAGTGCCCTCTGCAGAGCGATGGCTTAGGCTGGGTTAGTCTCTAGGGAAGTGGTGGAAACTCAAGCACTAGAGAGAGGGTGGCGCACAGGATAACAGTGACGGGAATGACGCTGGGCTGCCCTCAGGGGAATGAGCTCTGTGGTTCTGACCAGTGGTGGACTTGCCCCACTCAGCTTCTCTCCTGTGAGTGTTCGTGTTCTGGAGGCCTCTGAGCCGACCCGCTGTGCTTGCTGCAGACCCACAGTGGCTGAAATGCGTTGCCCAGATAGTAACTCCTAGGTGCTGCTGCTGGGATCGCAATAAAAACCCTTGGCTTGTCCTTGTGGCCGTGTCTTTCCTCCGGCTGCGGCAGCGGGGGCTGCACGGACTGGGGATGGGATGGAGATGAGGTGAAGGCTGATCCCAGCTGGCTTATCTGCATGCTCTGGTTCCTAGACTCCAGGACAGCAGTTGGAGAGAGGGATGGGGTAGGGCCGGGCCAGAATCTCCTGGGAAGGAAGCTCCCTGCTAGGAGATGCTTTTCTTCAACCTGGAGCTGCTCACTCAGAGGGCTGAGCTGCAGGTGCTTTGCGTGAGAGTAGCAGCGACCCGCTGGGCATGGGAGGGAAGGAGCCAGGGTAGAGAAGAGACAGAGGAGGTTTGAAGGGACCCTGGTTGAAAGGGCTTTTCCTCCCGCACCAGTGAGCGAGCTGGGGCAGCCCCAGGTCTGTTCCATGGTGTGAGCAGCAAGCTGGCAAAATGTGGAGGTTGTACATATAAGAAAGCGAAGCTGAGAGGCAGCAGGAGAGCAGGTGAAATGCAATAGAGAGAGAGTGGGGAGAATCCTATGAAAGAGCTATGGACCGGGCAGGGCTCTCTGGGCATGGCTACGCTGCTGTTCAACACCTGCAGCTGGCCCAGGTCAGCTGACTCAGGCTCGTGGGGCTCGCGGGTGTCAGTTTCACTGTAAAATTGGAGGTAGGTCTTCAGTCTCGGGCGGGAGCCCTGGTCCTGTAACCGTCCCCCTGCTTGTGCGGTCCCTGAGGCCGGCTGGAGCCCAAGCCTGAACATCTGCCCTGCAGTTTTACAGCCTGGGAGCCTGAACCCTGTGAGCCTGGCTCAGCTGTGGGTGTGAAGTTGCAGCGTAGACACGCCCTAAGTGAACTGTAACCACCCAGGCAAAAGACAGGCGCGTGGGCAGCTCTGTGAAAGCAGCCACCACAAAACCAGCAGCAGGGGCCGTAGGGATGCCGCTGAAGCGAGGGATCTTAGCGCTAGGCAGGGTCCGAGATGGGGGTGGGTGGACCTGAGACCTGGAGCGACTTGTGCAAGGAGAGCGGGTGGATGGGGGGGGATGAGTGTGAGGAACCTGCAGGCGTGGGGCGGGCCCAGCCAAGGCTGCTCTTCACCCTGGCTCGCAATACAAGGAGGAGGCGACGGTGTGAATGGAGCTAGAGTTAGGGGAGAGTTTGTGGGGTTTTTTAATGCTCTCTGCCTGAGACGGGATCCGCAGAAGCTTCCCCCACGTGCAGGTTATTCCGTAATAGTCCCCTAGGTCTGGGGGATTTCTTGGTCCTGCTGGTGCTGGCCGCTGTCAGGGCCAGGATGAGGCTATTGAGTTAGCTGGGCCGTGCCCTATCAGAGAAATTCCTACTTGCCCCAGAGGCGCTTTTGTGCATCCACAGGGCTCTGAGCGCTGTGGGGGAGCCATTGGGGACGAGGGGTTTGTAGGTGGTGCCTGGACAGTGCCTAGCAGGAGAGGCCCCTGATCTCAGGCAGGGCCTGTGGACATTCCCGTAATGCACGTCAGAAACAGGCATAAAGTTTTTAAGAGATCTTGCTGCTCTCCTCCCGGGGCAGGCATCTTATCTGCCGGGCAGTGAGGAGGCTGCAGTGGCTTTCGACATGCTCTGTCCCTCTCCCGGGGGGAGTGGCCAGACTCCCGGAGCTCCTGGCCCCACTGAAAAGGAAGAGGAGAAACGTGCTGTCATCTGCCAGCATTTCACTCTCATTGCAGTACCTCCGCCACCGGGGGGGCTGGGTGCCCAAGTGGTGGGAAGACCGAGGGCCTGGTCTGGCCTCGCGGGGGATGTTGCCTGGGGAAGTGCGGGTGCTCAGTGGCGTTGCATTGCTAGCTTTCTCCAGGGGAAAGGGGGATTTGGAAGGGAGTGGGACTGTCACCCATGAAGGGTGTATGTTGGACCTGACCCAGTGCTCACTGAAGTCAATGGAAAATCCCCCTCTTGACTCCAGCAGACATGGGGTCCAACCCATTATTAGGCAGGACTTGCAGTCTCTCACCAGCTGCCGTGATGTAAGGCGTGTGTCACAAAGGCCAGGCCTGCAGGAGCAGAACGTAGGCAGGGATCCCTGCCCAGGTGGCCTACTGGGGTGCAATGGCCCTCCCTGCTTCCTGGCTGCCTTTGGGAGGGATCTGATGGCCTGTGAAGGTGAACTTAGGGCTGAACCGGGCCTGACGGAGTCATCCACCCAGGGGTGCATTCGGGACTGATGTCCCACAGGACCAGGGAGTCACCAGCTGCTGCCCTGCTCTGTAGCCATGAAGGTTGGGCTGATTAACTGTGCCGGGAGATACCTCACCAGCGAATGCTATGGGGATGGCGTCACTGTCCTGGGAAACTCACTGGGCAGGAAGCAGGTGAGTGATGCTAAAAATCCACCGTGATGCCAAAGATTTGCAACCCGCCCCTGGAGCAGAACTAGCTGCACTCCCCACGGGTTTGGTGCCGCCCCTATCGGGATGGCCCATGATGTGACCGCGTGAGAAGTTGAGGTTCAGCCTCTATCCCTCAATCCTGCATGAATCTTGATTCCCCAAGGAATGGGGTTTTTCTGGGGGTGCCTCTCCCCTCCTGGCAGAGTGCACTGGGAAGCTTTGCTTCCTGCCCGAGCGCATTGCTGCTGAGAGCACCGTTCCCAGCACTGGCCGGGCAGAGACGCTGCCTTCCACCTGCAGAGATGAGCGTTCCCCGCCCTGCGGGCCAGGAAGGCCAAACTCCACACTGGATAGGCGCTGTGGACCATTGCAGTTTGGTTATAATCCACCCCAGGGCAGAGACGAGCCCTCAAAGGGGTGGGGCGGGACCCTGCTGTAGTGTGCCCCCCCCAATCCCCCCGTGCTAACTGCTCCCAGCCCCTGAATGTTATTCGCTCCCAAGGGGGTGCTAAACCCCTCACAGGATAAGTAGAGAGACAACATCCTTCCCTGGGGGGTTTACAGACAAATTCCAGAGGTGACCTGTGGAGGGGGCATTGGGGTGGAAGGAGGAGCACACGGAGGTAACATCAATGGGCTAGCAGGGTTACACGGTAGAGGGCTGGTGCACTGCATGACGGAGTGAAGGAAGGGAAGTTGCTAGCTAATTTCTTGTAGGCTTCTAGGAAGGCATAGGGCTCATGGAGGGACTCTGCAGAGGGGCGGGTGGTGGCTTTGCAGGCCAGCTCAGGGAGCGGGTCCCACATGGAAGGGAAATGCGGTCGCAGGAGATGCGGGGGAGCAGGCTGGTGTCCTGGGCAGAGTAGCAGGGCCATGTGATAGGTAGGAGCGGCAGAGCTGTGATGGGCCGGAAGGTGAGGATAAGCAACTTGAACTTGATGTAGTGGAGGAGGGAGAACAGAAGGAGGAGGGGTGGGGCAGGGATATGGGGAGATTGATAGACACAGGTTTTAACCCAGGCAGCTGTGATATGCACGGGCTGGAGAAGGGCCATGTGGGGGCCAGGGAGGCTGGAGAGGAGAGGACAAGACCTGACAGGCTCCTCATCCCATTTGCAGCCTCCCTTGCTTCCTTGAAGAGCCTCACTAGACAAAAGCTGAGACGCATGTCTATTGCGGCCGCATCCTTCCCCAGAAGAGGCCTTCAAGGGGCGCTCACCCTGGGACTGCATGTAGGCACAGCAGGGCCAGCCTGGACTGACTGATCTCAGCTTGGGGCAGACTTTGGCAGGAAGAGGCAGGGATCCTGTGGAAAAAATAGCATGTGATGATCATGCCTTTGAAGACGTATAATCCAGCCACATGCGAAGCTGAACCGAGGTTGCACAATCTCTGACTTTTGCATGCTTGACATTCCAGTCTTACTGAGGGTCTGTTCACACAGGTGTTTTTGTAATTTCCTATGTTTTTAAAGAATCCAACTGAATAAAACAGAAATTCCAGCATATGGCACCATACTGACACCCACATGGGGTATCAGCAGGGTTGGAACCTTTAAATCCTCTAAACAGACCCCTGCCACTTGAGTTAATGCAATAACTGGTAGCAGTAGAAGGTTATCGTCCTCTGTGTGGCCCGGCACGAGAGGGGACGAGACACACACTGTGCCAGTGAGTTTCACAAATATTTGCTCACAGCAGAGGGATGGCGAGACTCAGGGCTTGTGGGTTCCAAACCAGGCTCTGGAGGGGAGTGTGTTCTAGTGGGCACAGAGTCTGCTGCATATTTCCCCCCAAGCGTGACCCCTTCTGACCTGTGCCCTCCAACCCATCCTTCTCCCAGTCTTGTCTTTCCCTGACTCTGTTCATCTACCCAGTCCCAGCCCCGGCTTCTCATTCCAGCACAGCCAGTCCTGATCTCCCCGCACCAGCCTCCATTCCCAATCTACTACGCTCCTGGGCTTCTTGTCTGAGCCTGCTTTCCCCGCCACTCACCTGCAGGTCCTCTTCTGGTCCCCTCTGCATTCAAATCAGAGGGCTTCCTCCTCTACACTCCCTGGTCAGCAGGGCGGTCATTGAGAGCACTGGAAAGCCAGCCTCCCCCTGCTCCTAGTCCACGTGGCTGGACCTGAACCTGGCACTGCCGGGAACATTGCAGGGAAAATCCCGCTCAGCTTCAACGGCGTATGGCTTGGTCACATTTGCATCGATTTTAAAGCTACAGTGTTAAAAACAAAAGTTGCCAGAATGTTTTGAATATGGGCAAAACAACACGTTTTCCCGAGCCTGGTTCATGGAAATGGCTCACCCCGTTCTGGGTGAATTTTTTTAAAAAAACCCTTCATCCAGAGACGGACCCACTGCATGGAAAATTCCATCCCACGTGGGTGAAACTTGGCAAGGTTATAAAGCAACTCAAAGCAGGGTCTCCGAGTGGTGCAGCTGGGGAGGGAAAGGGCCAGAAAGGGAAGCTGCGTTTCCCGTGTGGCGTAGTGCCGAGCTCTGCACTGCCAGCTCCCGGGTTGCAGAGTGAGAGGCTGAGGAGCGGACCCAGGAGTTCCACCTGGCCAGTACGAGAAACGCTAGCCCCATCAGTGTACCGAGAGCAGTGAAGTTGAGTGAGGGTTGAACTCCAGGCGTGTCTGGGCTAGGGGAGCGCCCAGCCCTGCCTCGTTATAGCACTTAGGGCCTATCCGAGCACATCGAGTCTCTGTCCCCCCACTCCGCGAGGCAAGTTCCCAGCAGCCTACTCTCCAGACCTTTCTCATGCCTAGTGCCAAAGGCCCCAAGCTATAGGGCTCCTGCCTCTTTCCTGGGAGATTATCCCATGGCCAAATACCGTTCACCACGAGCAAATGGCCCCTGAGATTCAGCCCCGTTGATCCCTTTCCTGCTCTCACCCCATTGTGGCTCCTGTTTTCCCATAACCCCTTTCCCCCCAACTTGGTAAATGAGCAGCTCCCACCAAGCAGTCCCTGCTCCCCGTGTTTACCCATCTCAGATAGTTCTCACTTCCCCCCATCAGCCGAGCTACGCTGGACACGCCTAGGGCTCATTGGCGGTAAGAGGCTCCCTGGGACTTGGCTGGGGCTCAGCTCAGGGCCCTATTTCTTAACACTGACCATCACAAATCGCTCCCTCAAGCATTCTTCGCACAACGATGCAAATGGAGCCTGCAGCCCTCTCTCTCGGGGCCGGATTTAGGGGCAGCGACTGCCCGTTGTTCGTGACAAAAGGGAAAATAGAATGTCTGAGGTAACGTTTCAGGTATTCTGTAGGTGGATTCATTTTTCACTAACCTCCTAGAATGTTCCAGACCTTTGTAGAACCTCGTGGAACCTTCCAGACTTTCCAAGAACTATCTTCTCCTCGAACCTCCCAGAATGTTGTCAGCCAAGCCCTGGCGGGTGTCTACAGGGCGGGGCATCTCCTGCCAGTCAGTGAGATGTAAGAACGAAGTGAAGTGAGAGCCCAGCTGCCGCATTGTGAACCTTATTTTGTTGTGTAATTGTGAACGTGTACTTGTGTTTTAAGACTTGAAGAGTGTAAGCAGCGTCTCTCTGACGCTGGGCTTCAGTTCACGAGGGCAAAGGTGAGGAAAGCGACTTTCTGAACGAAAGCACTAGGGTAACGTTCTCAGGCTGTCACCTACTGTAACCTTATTTAATGCTGGTCCGCCCAATGTGGGTGCACAGTTCCATTTCTTGATATTAGCGCCTTTCACTTATTCTTCACATTAAAACGTTTCTGTAAGCTTAGCAGAAACTATTTTTAAAAATTTTGCTTATACATGGCATGAATAAATACAGATTTACAGATCCTGGCCTGCAAATGTCTCGTCTATAAGACAGGGATAAATCATGCATGTAAATTGTGCATCAGAGTCGCGAAATGAGCTACAAAGGCAATAAAAAATGAGGTATGCAAAAGTTGAATAAATGGAGGGGGAGCGCTGAAGACACACCTCTCCTGGGGCACCGTTTTATCTCGGGCCAGCCCTTGTCTCTCACCAGGACGTTATACGCTCCTCAGTCTCTCTGTTCGGGTGCAGTGTCAGCTGCCAAACACACCACTGACAGCATCTGGTAGCTGCCGTTCCATGACGGTTTGCGTCAGCCTCTTGCCCCACCACTGAACAACCTGAGCTGGGCCCATTGTCCGTCGCTTTCTCTCCCAGCAGGTCCCTGCATTCCACCGGCCGCTCTGCAGAGCTCTCCAGCTGTATGGATTGGAGTCGGTCGGTTCTCAGCCGATGATGGCCAGGGGCTGGGAGAGGTGCCAGGCACAGGAGCAGACAAGCCAAGAACCCCCGTTCAGGGAGGTGTTCACAGCGTGTCTGGATGGCTCTTTCCCTCACCACCCTGGCTGCTCCCAGAGCAGGGAATTAAGGTGGCGGAGAGGCCCCGCCGCTCCCAGGGCTTCTGGCTGTCACCGCTGAGGGACTGTGATGTCACATAGGCTGCTGGAGGAGCCAAGGACCGTGGGAGCCGGGAGAACCCCCAAGATTCTAGACCCAGTACAGCCACTGATGCCTGCAACTGTTGTTGTTTTGTTCTTCTGTTGGCATCCTTTGTTGCTGGTTTCGATTGTCCTCGGGCACCAGCTGGGCTGGGCTGGCACTTCTGACTCCGTGTCATGTGTTGCTTGTGCAAGGTAGGCTTCAGGGCAGGCTCCTGAACCAGACACGGCCTGGCCACAGAGCTCCCACCGTAGCGAGAGACAAACCCGGTCCCTGCAGGATCCTTTAATGGGCTGCCAGGTGAGGCTGAGGCCAGCTCAGGTAAGGACTGTTGCACGCTGCGCCCTCTACTGGCCGAACGTCCAATACAGGTGAGCATTCCTTTGCACTCCCTACGCCGGGGTTCTCACAACACCTTGTTTGGGGGCCTCAGAACGCAGCCACCAACTCTTGCTGGTGGCCGCTCTGACAAATTTCCCTAAAATTCTGAAGTAACTTTAGGAAAAACAAATAATTATGCACACA